CCTATAGGATTAAGTTCAAAATAAAAGAAAAAAAAGCACCATTTATAGAAACACTTACCCAAGGCTAGAAGCCTTTTCCTATCTGAATTACGAGCATCCCATGAACACAAACTTCCAGATTTTTCATCCGGGAATAACACTGTAAATTAGAGTTTCGTAAACACTGTTATCATTACAGGTAATCGTCGCATCAGCGAAGGTAATAATCATGACTGCTCTGATTTTAAATTCTTTCAAGTGAGTAATTCATACAAAACTGGACATTCAGGTGAAGGTGAACACAATAAAAAAGGTAGACAAGAGAAGAATTACCATAGTCCTCGTTATGATTGAATGTGGCTTTTACAGGGAACTCCTGCCTGCCAGTAGCTCCTGCACCAGTGTAAGCGATTAAGCAACGATTTGTAGACAGTTCCCACAATTTGACGATACTATCCATGCCGCTAGTCAGAATGTACTGAAAGTTTGGAGCTCATATTGATGTCAGCTAATTGAATTTCTTTAGAACATAACTTCTGCGAACAAAGGAGTGGATTTTCCAATAAAAAACAGAAGAACACCCATGAACCTTTCCATTTCTTGTGAATTTTGCAGAGCAAATAGCAGCACCGTCATGAGCCCGACTGAACGTTTCCACGCATCTATTTGATATACCGTCCCAAACCTTGACATCGCCGTCTTTTGAACCCGTAACGTAGAGACGAGCATTGTCGGAATAATTCACCTAAACATGTTCTAAATTAGCAGAGAACTATAAAAAAAAGGCAAAACTATAGCAATAAACTGGTCAATCAAAGAAAACACTTAAATCAGGTTAAAATAAAATTTGATGTCAAAAACGAAAAAGAATAGAAAAAATTTGAAATAGCAAGAAAAATTACATCCATCACAACGTCCTTGTGTTGATCACCCGGTGCAGAACATACGAAACACTGCGCGGTCTCGACATTATAAAGACGGATAGTCGGATGATCGGTGGTTACTAGAAGAAATTCACCACCAGGATGAAACGACAGAGCTCTAACTGGAAATACTTCCTAAAAAATAATTCTTTTTAGAAAAACTGCACCAAATGTTCAGAGAAGCTGCTCCATTACAAACCGATAACGTTTTCATCGCCCTCTTTACAGCAGTTTTGGAAAAGTCGAAAAGTTTGACAGTTTTGTCAGTAGAACCAGACACCAGGATCTGCTCACGAGGATGAAACGTGACAACAGTTACCTCCTAAAAAAAGTTGATGGATCCCGAACGAAGACAGACTGTCGCTCAAATCTATACCGTACGAAATTAATATTCGAACATAAATCAAAAAGTTTTCAAGAGAAATAAAAACTCACATCAAGATGATCGTATAATGTCCGAATTACAGGATGATTGGCATCGGGTCCATTTTCGCTTATTTCCCCTCTTACCTCACGAGCGATCATTCTTTCGACATCCAAAATTTTAATCGAACAATCTGCTGATCCAGTAGCTACTAAGGTGCCTTAACAAAAACCTACTAAAACGATGTCGCTCGAAGGAAGGAAAACTGGAGATACACTCCATAACACCCTGCCAGTACCAGTGGTATACGAAAAACATTGAATGCAATAAAATAAACACACCGTCATTATTGAAAGCTGCTGTACGGCAAGCGGATTTATGTGAGGTAAGGTAGATGGTCTCATAGTTGCACGGCTCAGCTGACGTCGGTATAACATCCGCATCAAATTCAAGGTCCAATCCAGCAGAAAGCACGTCAAACTACAATTGACCACCACCTTATTTGGTGTTCACCTTTTGATCCAACTTAGTTACAGAAGAATAGATCATTATGCTAGTAGCTCCGTGCATTTACGGAACAGATGAAAAAGTATTAGAAAAGTTGTTAGATCTTCCTTCAGTGTTCTTGTAATGGTAATGCCTTATGGTATTTAAGTACCTGCATATTTGCCTGTTTTTCCTTGGATTCAGGATCGTCCACGAATTGTTTTGCAATGGAAACAAGACGAAACAATTTGTCAGAAGGAGGAGGAGGCTGTGCAGCACATCCGATTGCCTGCGCAAGAGATAAAGCCAACTGTTGATGTCCATCATAAAATAACTGCCTTAAAATTAAATTACTGAATTCGTTAACAATGTTTAAAAATCATTCTAAAACCCGTGTTCAAACACTAATACTCACCCTATGATGAGCCTATACATGTAGTCGCGGTCCTTAATATCCGGCTTCATAGCTGATTAACAGAACGAAACCACTCGAAGAATTTTAAAGTTTAAAATAGAGAACAGCAGCAAGAGCTTCAAAAATGTTGTGCTATAGGGCGAAAGGGACGCAGTGCATGTGTGGTCTCAACACGAACAGTGTAACGTTATCGTAACATGAGATACCTCCTGCAGTTCTCTTTTTCTGATGTGCCCTAATCTGTAGCTGTATTGCGTGGTTGTTGTACGCAATTTCATCAGTGTTGTGCTTTTTTATGGAAAGAATGTTTCCGATTAGAATACTTGAGGGTCAGTTTTCGTGGGTCTGGTGAGGCGTTGACTTCGTTGTTTTTTTTTTACCGTTTCGTTCGTTACATAAGTTAATGTCATTTTGGAGCAGTTGGTCGGGCATTCACTTTTTTTGTTGTTGTTCCGATATAACATGTGTACAGACAAAATTTAGAATGTGAGTATGCCTCGATCATTGCAGGGTACACAAAATGAAGTTCAACCCTGCAGTGTCCCGCGATTCCGGAAAGAACCGTAAGCAGCACTTCAATGCTCCATCTCATGAAAGGAGAAGAATTATGTCTGCTCCCCTCACGAAGGAGTTGCGTGCTAAACACGGGATCCGATCAATCCCAATTCGGTAATTTTTGTTGTTTGTTGGGTTGTGGGTTCCGGTGGGAAATTTGCGTGCTTGAGAAAGTAATTCGTAAGGAAGCTTATTTGTAAGCCTTAAAAAACTCATAATATTTAGATTTTCTACCATTTGATGACGCTAAGTTGAATAGATTGGTTGTTATTTTAGAGTAGACGATGAGGTTATCGTAATGCGAGGTCGTCATCGAGGAAACACTGGACGAGTAATCCGTTGTTATCGTAAGAAGTTCGTTATCCACGTCGACAAAATCACTCGTGAGAAGGGAAACGGATCTACTGTGCACATCGGAATCCACCCTTCGAAGGTGAGGTTTGGTTAAAAACTAGTTCCGGTGCACGAAGAAAAGTCCAGGTGAGTCTTTGGTACTCATTTGACTTCTTCAACCCTGCCTTAGTGTCTTTTCTGAATTTGCATTAAATACATATCAAATGCATTTACCCTCTGTTCATACTTGTTGTTGCTAAGATTTACTTAACATTTTCAAAAGTAACTTCAGGTCGCTCTCACTAAGCTGAAGCTTGACAAGGATCGTCGTGATCTCGTTGAAAGAAAGGCCGCCGGCCGTGCTAAGGCCCTCGGAATACTCAAAGGAAAGCACACTGATGAAAGCGTTGCCTAAATGTTTGTTCCTGTTGTTGTTGAATGAATTTTATTATATGTTCTATTACTGCTAAGTTAATTGTCCCCAGCTTTTCGTGTTTTAAACAACGATTGGGTGAGCCATATTAGGGAGGGCGCGAGAAACGCTCTATCGATGCATGAAACAAGTTCGATTGTGGTGTGGTGGCACTTCCCCAAATCAGCGATTCGTTGGAAATTTTCCTGAGTATGGAGCAAGTCAGTTGTTTGAGCGAGAGACCTGTTCTTTTTTTCGGGATAGAGTAAGAATAAATAAAATAGAGAATCAAACCACTCGTGGAGTTCCTACCGCTGACTACTTGGAATTCGCGATGGCACGGCGATTTCTTGCCGTAGTATGAGCAGGTAATATGCGTTTACAAAGCCATGTCTTGGATATGTATTATACATCAGAAAGATATATTGTAGAGAAAACAGTATTCCTCGAAGTTTTCAAGCAACAAAAATTTATTAGAACTTTAGGTGTTAGGATTTGCGAATCGTGTCAAATGAGAAATTCCTCCTGATTCCATAGTGGCCCTAAAGAGAGCCGTTTGGTCAGTGTAGAGGTATGACTGGACGAGAGGTAAATGACTAGTCTGAAATATGTGTAATAGTGTGCTGTAAGCAAGATCAGTAGGGACTAAAAAAGAGTGGAGCCTACTTCAGACGTCTTTCTGCGTCACGGTCCTTCATTCAGGCTGTTTGCCATCTGTTTCCCTCTGAAAAGCGACTTTTACAAAAAACAGTCAAATCTTGAAGAAAAGAAACGAACCCTTCCTTCTTCGAATAGCCTTTTTGCTTTATACACTGCTACAAGTTACTCCCCAGCTGGTGTACAACTCTCCGGTCTTGACGGTGACGTTCGGCTACAAACCTCGGAGTCTTCCTCATGGGTCTCCGTCATTGGCACACCGTGCTTACGAAGCTTTTCCAGTGCTCTGAAACAGTGTGATATTTAATTTAAAGAGCGTGGTGGACAATGAAGTATACTACCTCGAAAGAGTTTTTCGCCTTGACTTGTATCCTCTCTTGCGGAAGTAGGTCAGCATTTCTTCGCGTCGGTGAGGATCTTAAATAAATTTTAAAGAGAATCAGATATTTAGATATTGGCTGATATTGGCTATTTAAATACACCATACCTTCGCTGGAGAGGTCCACATAGTTACTGATTTCTTGCCATAGCTGCCTGGGCTTTTTACTGGCGAACTCAGGTGTAACACAGATTTCTTGGCAAGCCTAAATACTCTACATGCCAGTCAGTGAAACGAACGTTACGGCTGAATAACTCACCTTGTAGACCAAGCGATTCGCTTCGTCTTCCGCGGAATTCTTTGGTGAGCAGACGTGTTCAAGGAGGCATGGATCTTCAGAGAAGAACTCTCCATCACGTACCTTAAACAGCTGTTAGTGATAGTGGCTACGAACAACTAGGTCACAGGTGGTCAGTGTGGAATCACCGCGCGCTACCATGCGGTGACCTTGTCCCGTTACGCACTTCAATCGTCGTCCTCGTGCCATTGCTTCTGCAGCCACTACAACAATAAACTTCGTACTTAGCTCTGCGTTTCTGATACGCAAATGTGTAACACGTGGACCCTCCTGAAAATGAAGAGTCTCAGTTGCTTGGGATAAAAAGTTCTTTTACGAAACGATCCTGTTACCTGGGATGTCATATCTCAACACCGGGTGAATGCCCTTCTGGCTGACATTGACCACAGCCCGGAACTTGGTTCCAACTTCCTCTGAGGGTTTGTTGAAAAGAGCAGTAGCATCGACTAAATCATCTTCGTCAGAAGGGAAGTGCACGTTATTCAGTTTCATCTATTACCTGGAGGTGGTGAAGGGCTATTTTGACGTGCGGGTGGTTTTGTGTCTTCAGATGGCGATGGTGAACGAATGTGTTGTTTGCTATCTTCTGGAGGCAGCACTACATGAACATCCGGCTCGTGAACGTCTGACTCATCGTCTTCACGGGAGGTTCCTAAAAACATGATGGATCTCATCGAGTCATTGTCCATTAATTCGGTGTTGGCACAGCTTACCCGCTGTAAGTATACCTATGAGGGTAGAGTAGTTGGCAGGATTGTAGAAGGTGACCTGACTTGAAGTTACTGGAACGTTCTCAGCATCTTCTTCTTCTGGCTCAATGGTCTCTCCTAAAGATGGTTGGCTATTCGAAACACCCAGCGAACAAAGTTTTTAACCTTACTTTTTCCTAGTGCCGCCAGAAGAGTAGGATACTTTGAGAGATCGTATCTGACCATTGTGAATGCACAAAACTGCAATCACAGTAAACTTAGCTGAAATCGAAAAATGTGTTTGTTATACAGGAAAACACGTAGTTTCAGATGTACGAATCAGCATGTAGTTCACCCGGAACTGTTTGAAGCCGAAAAGGTTCATAAATCTTCACAGCATAGAAGAAATTTTTCACACCAAAGCACAAAAAACACCTAACAAAGCAACTTTGACGCAGTAGGACATTGAACGAAGTTATACAGCTCAACAATGGATAGAGTCTAAAACTGCACAGCAAGATCAGTACAAGGTATCTGACACTATTACTATCTAATCTTCATTGATTATAGATGAATGAAAGTAGTGTTCGTAAAGAGACCTATATCACGTTCGTATGAGACCTATTGTACAAGGGAACTGAATAACCCAAGGTCGCCAGACAGCAAACATTACTTAACGCCACAGTACAAAAGTACACTCACGGAGGGTGGCCCATATTTTAAGTTCGAAGTCAACATCGCCGTCGATATCGTGGCTGAGGGTAACTCTCAATGGTTACCAGGAGACTGACACTTCGCCGAGTCAAGTGCTTACCTTTTCAAGGAGTATATTACTGAGAAATAGGATAGGGAAACCTCATTTCAGGTGTGTACACGACAATCCATGGTTGAAAAACCTTCCCATTTTTATTGCTTTTTCTCTTGTTTACTCAGCGACAGTTAGAGTAAACTACTCGAACCAGTTTAGGAAGAAGTGTTCCATTTTTGCCACGTCTAGCCATTGTGAATTCTTTCAGTCTTGAAAATCAAAAACGAAAGTATTTTTACCCTCAAAGCACTAAAATCCGTACAAACAATTACCACATCAGGTTCTCTCCCCCACCAAAACTTGACGAAATTAAATGTAGGAAATAGTTATGTTATGTTGACTAAATACCTTTGAATTCTTTTTTCGAGTAAATTCATATTTCAACTTTCATCACAGTCGGAAATGGCTGTGGGAAATATTACCTTCCTTCGGAGAAACGGGAGAAAAATGTCAAGAGAGCTACAAAAAGCACATCAGACATTCCATTATTAGCTCCCACCTTAGCAATAATAAGGCGTATTATAAAATGCATTTCTCAATGGTAATAGGAACAGTATCGAGAGGGTAAATAAACAAACAACAACAGAAGAAGACTGCGCTTTTATGACAACCTAGCTGCTTTTGAAATTTATCATGTACGAATAACGTGGTGCTGCACCCTGCGATTATGATCGCTAATGCACTGCCGGGGGCCTGCGGGGATCAATACGGAATGTGTGTTGTGTCATGCGCCAGGAGGCGCCCTTAAAATAGGTCGCCGCACGCGATGGCCTTGAAGTGACTCCTGGCCCACTATNAATGTTCAATTTCAGGAGAGTTATTTCGTGATTATATGGCACTATGTTTGAAAGCAAGTATAAACACACTGCTAGGAGGATTCTCCAACTATTCCAATGAGAATAGTAGAGTAAAAAAGCAAAAAGACAAACGACCTTGGCACGCATGTAGCACAACAGTCTGTGACCGTCTAGAACTCTCTCACTTCAGCGTTCTCTTTTCCATGTTCCCTTCGCACACTTGGCACAATTTAGGCGTGGACGAGTTTCCCGGTGCTTTTTGCTGCAGGGCGGCATTTTGCCAAAGGAATTCTGCCATTTTCTTTTTGTTGTGTAGAAGTTTCGCCGATATTTATTGTCAGTTCGTTCATTGTCCGACTACTTTGTTAGGGCAGAAACCAGAATTTTCGATTTACTTCACGTTTCAAAGGGCAGTGCATCCTGTTAGACGCACGCGTTCCTTCTCAATCTTCGTGTTGTTCGTCTAGTTTTAGAATGCAACTTATTCAATTTCTGCTTTGCGATTTACGATTAGTAACTGTACAACACATAGATAGAGTTTTAGCTGAAATTTCCCGGTATGTTGCACAGTTTTTTTGAATAGCACCGATAGGGTTTCTTGTTAAATTAGTTGTTTACATCAAAGAATACCTTTGCATCTACCATTTTTGGTTACTTTTCTGTACGGAGCTTCAGCGCTTCGATCCGTGTCTTAAACTGTTTCTATTTCTCTTTTTCCGAATCGTCTAGTATCCCCAAGGCAACCAGACGCGCATATTCTCTGTCGCTGCCACTATTTCTGATCCAAGTAAAATTAACTAGTTGATAACACTATTTTTTTATTTTCCCAAGTATCTAAACTCGAATTTCAGCTGCTCTTGGCCTTTCGTACATGGCAGGTTCTTCCATACTCACCCCTGAGAGGAGAATCGAGTTAAACCCCTTCGATATCGATGCATGGAATTTGATACTAAGGGAATCACAGGTACGTTGTGTTGCACTTCTCACCACTACTTTGGAAACCTTACTTATTGGCATTGCTTTTTCATTTCGAGGCTTTTATTGTCAGTTTATTTGTATTTGTGAGAGTTGTCTGCTAATCAAGGGTCCAACTTTGTGATTTCTGAAATTCGTTGGTTAAACCATTATGTGAATCGTGAAAATAATTCTTCAAATTAGTTTGATATGTCTGACGATCCAATGCCTGCTGTGGTTTGGACAAGCGTGGGACGGTAGTTCATAAATAATCAGAAGAGTAATTCCATTCATGTTTCAGGCTCGTCCGATTGATCAAGCACGAAACTTTTATGAGAAGCTAGTAACACAGTTTCCAAATGCTGGACGGTACTGGAAGGCCTACATAGAGCATGAGGTAAGAGATATTGGCAACGGCTACGCAGAACATTTTATGTTGATGTGCCGTTCAAGCGTGGTGATCTGGTCATGTTGCAGTTGGCTATCTTGCGGCAGTTCATGTCACCCCGGCTATCCGATAGCGGACGCCACATCAACTTTCGTTTTTTTCTGTTCCCCCTATGCTTACCCATGAACAATAAATATTTGCTATGCAGCACCGACCTCGTAATGATGATGTCGCTTTTATCGCTCTATCATAAATTCTGTGCGAATAAATATTGTTGGCCAGTATCACTCGAATTAGCTTGTTCTTCAATAGAGCCTAACTTTCACACAAGGGAACAGTCGCACTTTTTTGTTGCTTAATGTGCGTAACATGGACTAGGGAAATGTGCACACAAAGCTAACCACCGGTACATCGTGACACTGTCTAGACATTCATGTGTATGTACAGATCACTCAGCACCAGGTGAATCATTTTGGCTCTCTCTTTTCTACGCTTACTTGAAGTGCTTACATTTCATCCGATGTTCTCCATTTCAGCTTCGAGGGAAAAATTTCGAGAATGTTGAGAATGTAGGTTTCATTTACAGCTCTTAAATTTTTCATTTTATCTTTATTAATTTTGCAATTCTTTATACCAGCACTTACTTTTGGTAAACGAATCCATTTCGTTCTAGTTGTTCAATCGATGCCTGGTGAAGGTGCTGAATATCGATTTGTGGAAATGCTACGTGTTTTATGTTCGAGAAACTAAGGGTCACTTAAGCTCATTTAGGTAATTTACAACGTGATTTCTTTGTATGTAATCGCATTCTAAGTTGAGGAACATTCAGGGAGAAGATGGCTAAGGCGTATGATTTTGCACTTGACAAAGTCGGGCTTGACATGAACTCCTACTCGATTTATTCGGACTACATATCCTTCCTGAAAACTGTGTAAGTTCGTGTTTTGTAGGTGTTGCTTCATTGCTTTCGATTTTTGATAATCTAAACTTGTCCATTATCTGATTTTTCAGGCCAGCCATAGGGCAGTATGCAGAAAATCAGCGTATATCAGCTGTACGTAAAATCTATCAACGAGGGATTTCTACGCCTATGGTTAACATAGAGTCTTTGTGGACAGATTACTGTGCCTACGAGAAGAATATCAATCCTACTCTCGCCGAAAAACTTATTTCAGAGCGGAATAAGGAATACCAGGTAGGCGCGATTTGCCAAAACATAATGCTTTTAGAGAATTTGAGCCCAATTTTCAAGGTATCGAAGAAAATAGCGAAACAGTTAGAGACCGTTACTCGAGGAGTCAATAGACAAGCTGTATCAGTGCCACCAAGAGGTACCGCTCCGGAGATGAAACAAGTAAAATTTTGGAAATCCTAACTCTCTTATTTTCTTTGCTGTATTTTTCTTGTGTGCCTAGTCTGATAAAAGAGCCAGTAGGTATTCCGCAGTAGTTCAGAAACTCATTAAACTTCAGGTAGAAATGTGGAAGAAGTATATTCAATGGGAAAAAAGCAACCCAATGGAAACGGAGGAGTATGGGCAATTTGCGAGACGGGGTAAGTGGTCATATGAACCTCATTTCATCAACTACTTGCTCTATTTTGTACTTTGCACCATTTGTTCAGTGGTGTATGCTTATGAACAATCGTTGTTGTGCCTGGGATACTATCCGGATATGTGGTATGAAGCTGCGCTCTTTCTGCAACAGGCAGGGAAACAGTTGGAAGAAAAAGGCGATGTCAAGCTTGCTCAACAAATGACAGCGGAAGCTATGCGTTAGTAATATCACTTTAGGAGTTTTAATTTTTTCAAAAATTTTGACGGTCGCAGTAATATAGAGATTTACTTTACAGAACTATTCGATCGAGCAATTTCTGGCCTCATGAAGCATTCACAGCTGCTCTATTTTGCATATGCAGACTTTGAAGAAGAACGAATGAGATTCGATAATGTGAAGAAGATCTATGATAATCTCCTTGCAATAGACCATATTGATCCTACTCTTGTAAGTGTTAATTTTGGAATTTCTCCTCAAAAATATGGGTATGGCGATTTTCTTTAGACATACATCCAACTGATGAAATTTACCCGACGAACAGAAGGAGTTCGAGCAGCACGAGCAGTATTCAAGAGAGCTCGAGAGGATAGTCGATGCCGTCATCATGTGTTCATAGCTGCTGCACTCATGGAATTTTACTGTAGCAAGGTACCCAAGCTTCCATTCTTTACGTCAAGTTGCTTCACTTTCGAATGAATTCTATTAGTACTTCGAAGCTAGCTATTGCCGGTCGGCAGGCTTGGCATGGTTGAAGTTGCTATTAATTTTGCTTACAGGACAAGGATGTTGCAATGCGCGTGTTTGATCTCGGTCTGAAGAAATACGGTGATGAACCTGAGTACGCATGTGCCTATGTAGATTTTTTGACCCACTTAAACGGTCAGTAACTTTGGATTGTTCGTCTTCGCTCTCTCTATTTTTATATAGATCCTTTTTCAGAGGATAACAACACACGAGTCGTGTTTGAGAGAATTCTTACTTCTGAAACTCTACCGCAAGAAAAATCATCGTAAGTTTTTATGGTTGTACGACCTCTAGCAAGATATTCTCTGCAGAATTTCCCTACTTGTTTGTTTACAGTGATATCTGGGATCGTTACTTGGAGTTCGAATCCCTCGTAGGAGACTTAGCTAGTACTCTCAAAGTTGATGAAAGACGTAAGGAAGCTGTAACCGGTGGGAAGGATGAAGGAACCACGCTGATGTTGATAGACAGGTATGGGCTACAGGAGGCGATTTGCTCGTTACTCAATTCCTTTCGTTTACAAGTAGTGCTATTCAGATATCGGTTCCTAAACCTCGTACCCTGTACATTGGATCAGCTCAAACTCATGGGTTACAATGTATGTTGACCGGTTTTGTTTTTTTTT